TCCGCGGCACCTCTGAGTGGATTTGAACAGCCAGCCTCTCCATTAGCCTTCAAACAGGAGCCATCTGCTCAGTCCATGGGAGGGCTCAGTACCAATGGACACATTGGGGAAAGTGAGGCAAGGGAAGGGTTTGGGGCAAAGAGAGGGGAACAGTGTGATATCGAAGGAAACTAGCAGGCTAAGGTTCTCTTCTGGACTTTCAAGTAGCCTTGGCTACACCCTTTCTCTTCTTTGGGCCTCATTTTCCTCATCTGTTAAGTGAGAAGTGGGCGGGTGAGGGGGGACCCAAACAGTGAGTTCCACCCATGCCAACCAATCTTTCCTCTTGGGCTTGAATTACAAAATCTGCAATACATACCTTATATATTCATGTATAAGCCAAGTTTTTTTTTCAGTACATTTTTAATGCAGCTTTTGTGGTAAAATTAGCTGATATTCGGGTCAGCTTACAAGCGAGTATATAGGGTATATATATTAATTATAAGTACATAAAATTATATATACATATAAACATATGTTCATATATATTCACACACACATATATACTGCCAGAAGCACACCATTACTGAGCCATTTGGATCAGAGATTTTATAGGTGGATCCTGATCGAAAGGGGGAAGTTTTCGAATTTGACAATCTCATGGAATCCAGGCTTTTTGGATCCACAGAGGCTTATGAGCCCTGGAAACAAATGCCCTAAGAGAATCTTTAAACCTCAAACCCAAACAAGCCTCAAAGTCTTCTTGAAGCCATACCATCGTGTCCCTTGCTAAGTAAGACGGTAGGCCTTGGACACTGCTCACTCAAGATCTAGCTGTACGGGACCAGGGAGCCCTGGTGGTGTGGTGATTATGCCTTGTGTTGCTAACGGCAAGGTCAGCAGTTTGAAACCACGAGCTGCACCGTGGGAGAAAGGCGAGGCTTTCTACTCCCAAAGAGAGGGACCATCTTGGAAACCCACGGGGGCAGCTCTATCCTGTCTTACAGGGTCGCTAGTAGTCAGAATCCACTCAATGGTGTGAGGCTGCTGTTTTGGGGTTTTGTATGGGATCAAACTGACAGGAGCAACTCAAATGGTTGGATGAGCGTCTTCGGGGGCAGTATTCGGTGTCCCTGAACTGTGCCTGGACTGTTTAGGGGCTGCTCTGTGGATTCTCCACAACAGCAGAGGTGGGCAGATTGGTATCTTAGAGCCCAGCCCCGAACACCACACTGGACATGGGCCCCAGCCTCACTTACGGGGCTCCCGGGGAGGGCCTGGGAGGGCGGTTTAAAGACAATGGGGTTCTTGGTGGATCCTTCTGTAAAGCCTGTCTCCTCCTTGGCTCCAATTGATTTCTTCTGTAACAGATCTGCAGAAGACAAACCATGCCCTGTCCCCAGGCCTCCTGGTGCCCCCTGCCTGGGCTTCAAGTGGGTAGGGAGTGACTTGATGCCAAGGACGTGGAGACCAGGAACATGGGCCCCAGGCCAGTGGGCAGAAGGCAGGGTGGGGCCAAGAGGCCAGGAGAAGGCTTCGGAGAGGCCACTCAATGGGTCTCAGTGGGGTCAGGGGTTCTAAGGCTCAGAGCGGCCTTGGGGGACACCACTCCCCTAAACCACCTGCATGCCTTCTTTCTTCCCCGGGTAACTTCCTGATCCTATTCCAGCTCCAACTACCCCCCACCCCCCCAACCCCGCCCCAGCCCCGGGGAGGCAGAGGCGTGCCGTGGGAGGGAGGCCTGGGTGTGGACACGGGCATACCTGGCTGGGTGGGCGGCTCGTTGAGGTACTTGGAGTTGTACTCAGATGTCATGAAGCGAGGGCCCTAAATCATCGAGGGGCGGGTGGTGGGGACAGAAGGGAGACCGGGGTCCAGGTGGGTTCCGTGGCAATGGCAGATCTTGAGACGTCGTGCTCTGAGCTGCGCACTAATCCCACGGCAACCGGCACCCCAGAGCCAGGAGCCGTGGGGTGAGAACACAGTTCCCAGGGACTATCATTGCTGAGCCACCTCCTGCACTAGGCCCAGGAATGAACAGCAGACCCCCACCCCAGCCTGCCCTCCAGCCCAAGAACTGGAGCAGGGGGATGTACCCAAGAAGAGAGGCAGGGACAAAGAAGATGAACGAACAGTCCCTGCATTGGAGTGTCTGGGTAGGGAAAGGGGGAGCAGGGGAAACAGGGGGTTCAGTTATTTTCATTTGCGTTTGTTTTAGGTTGTGTGTTTACTTGCTTATTGTGGCTTGAGGAGCCCCGACGGCACAGTGGTTATTCATTGGGCTGCTAACTGCAAGGTCCATAGTTTGAAACCAGCAGCCAGCTCCAAAGGAGAAAGTCGAGGCTTTTGACTTTCATAAAGAGTTACAGTCTCAAAAACTCACAGGGGCAGTTCTACGCTGTCCTGTGATCAGAGTTGGCTCAAGAGCAGTGCGTCTGGGTTTGGGGTTCTTATTGTAACTTGGGGGAAGGTTTACGGAGCAAATCCATTTTCCATGCAACTATCTACACATTCTTAGTTGCATGTCATGGATGACAACACCCACAATGTAACCTCCCTTATCCCCCTGCCTCCCCGGTTTCTCCTTTCCCCGCCCCTGTGGGTTTCTGAGACTGTAACTCTTTACAGGAGTAGAATGCCTCATCTTACTCCCGAGGAGCAGCTGATGGTTTTGAACCACTGACCTTCCACTTAGCAGCCCAACACATGTGTCACCACTATGCCGCCAGGGCTCACTTATAGACTTAGAAATTAACTATGGGGGGGGGAGTTCAGTTCCAGTTCTAAAGGGCTGAGCGATAAGTCTGAACATACATGTAAGGAAGTCAGAGATCACTACGTGGATGATCTTTGGGAAATGTCAACTCCTTTGTCCTCGTTTTCTGGGATGTCCTGACTCCACCCTGAGGTGGCTCCTGAGGCGAGCCAGCACCCTGGCCTCTTTGTCCAGTGGGGATCCCGAGGCTGGGTCGCCCCGCCCACTCACATGCCTGGAGTTCTCCCACTCCGTGGAGCCTTTGTCCTGCTGCTGATGGAGCAGGGGCACCTCCCTGGGCTCCAGCCCCGGGATGGTGTGGGCGCCGTGATCCTGGGTGTTGAAATGGACCTTCCGGACCTGGGAGGAGGGAGGAGGGCAGGTGAGGGATGGCAGTCCCTTCCACCCTTGATGCCTACAGAGCCCCCCACCCCCACCCCAGGAGAGATCTCTGGTACACGGAAGTCTGCTCAGCACCCTGCAGCCCTCGGGGTGGACCCCTACTCCAGTGGCCCCTCTTTATGGCAGCAGCTCAGGGCCTTTGCACTTGCTGTTTCCAGTGCCGGGCACACGCTTCTCTCAGAGCAAGACCGCTCTAACCTCCCTCAAGTCTTCCTCCAGCTCTCCCTTGGCTCTGCCAATGTGCAGTGTCAGGGGTGGGGTGGGGCTACGGGAATGGCTGGGGATGGCGATGGGGTTAGGGATAGAAACGGAAGGGGAGGTGATGATCGGAACAGAGACAGGACTGTGGGGCTGGGGGTGGGAAGGATGGGAATAATGACCCACAGGCAGCGGCAGCAGTGGCGGGGAGGGAGGTTCTGGTGAGAGCAACCACATCAAACCTAACCCACCGCCATCGAGTCCATGCCTCTAGGACAGGGTGGACCTGCCCCCTGTGAGTTTGGGAGACCTCTAACTCTCTGCGGGAGTAGAAAGCCAGCCTTTCTCCAGAGGAGCTGGCTGGCAGTGTCAAATTGCTGACCTGCCATTAGCAGCCCAATAAGGACAGCGGTGATGAAGGGGAGCGGTCCCCCTCCACACCTGGCCATCTCAGCCCTGTCCCTGCCCATCCCACCCCAAGGCTGGCCTCGGGCTGACCTCCTTGGTGGAGGGCCCCGTGTTGGGCTGCTCCCGCCCATAGCCAGAGCAGGTCTGGTACATGTTGCTGGGCAGCGGGTCCTTGCCGTCCGGCACCTCCAGCGGGCGGTAGCTCTGATTGGTCATGGTCTGGAAGACGTTTTGGACTTGTTCCCTGGAGGGAGGTGGACAGGGCAAGCAGGAGCTAGGGCCACCTGCCCTGGTCCTTTAGGCGCTTTATCCTCTCTCCTCAGGGGTGCCCCCTCCCCCTAAACCCTTCTTCTGAAGCCTCAGGTCCAAGCCAGGATCAACGGCCTGAGTCTGGGCCCCAGACCAAGGCCAAGCCAGGCTCTGTGCTGCAAGCCTCAGAGCCCCCAACGGAGCCGGACTTTGGGGGAGCTCTGCTGGGCCTGAGCAAGCACTCAGACCCTGGAGGGCCGAAGTAGGGGGCGCCCAGCCCGTACCCCATGGCGGGGTTGTCCAGGGCGTCGAGACTGGGTTGGTATGAGACCAGGGGCCGGTAGTTGGCTTTCCAGCCTGTGCCTCTGTGAGTGCCCATCTTGGGCTGGAAATCCTCACGACCTGCCAGAGATGAGATGGGGGGACAAGGAAACCGAGGGTCAGCAGGGTGAGAGCAGACAGGGGTCCCTCGACAGGGCCGGCATCCCTGGAGGGACATGGGGGTTTTGAGATGGGGAAGGGGGAAGAGCCCTGGGCAGGACAAGGGGGGGGGGGCTGTGACAGCCCCTCCCCTGGGATTGTGACAGCAGGAAATAGAACCAAGGACAGGGACAGGGTCAGAATCACAAGGGCAGAACTCTGGGGGAGGGGCAATGTCATGGGACCAGCCTGACAGTACGGTCCTTGGGGGCGGCTCTGGGGTGGACCCCGTTCAGTGGGCGGGATCGTTCCTGGAGGAGTGGCCTCTCCTCCTATCCAGGTTCCTCGGGTCAGTGGCCCCGCCCCCAAGGTGCCCTTACCGTAGGCTGTGCAGTAGCTGGTGGCGTAGAATTTCAAGGGGTCTGAGCAGCCCCCCGAACTCATCTTCACATAAGGGGAGACAACCCCCAGAGGGAGTTTCCCCATCATGATGCTGGAAGGTGACCCCCCAGGGGGGAGGGGCTGGGTAGAAAACGCAAGAGCCTATCAGCCTAGCAGCACAAGGCCCGCCCCCCCCTTCAGCCCCCTGTCTATCGCCAGCTGATCCCGGAGAGAAATGAGGCAGCCAGCTTCCGTACAGACAGACTGACAGCCCCGGGGAGCCCTGTGAGCATTGCCTCTCTGTTCCGCGGGGCTCACTGTGAGTCATTCCAACTCCACTGTCTTGGCGTCGACGCCGACTCAGAGCGACCTGATGGGACCGGGTAGACCTGCCCCTGCGAGTTGCCGAGACTGAAACTCCTTACGGGAGTGGAAAGCCTCGTCTTTCTTCCCCAGAGTGGCTGGTGCTTTCGAACTGCTGACCTTGCTGTTTGCAGCCCAACATGCGTCACCTGCTCCACCACCAGGGCTCCTAAGGAGTCGCTGGAGGGTGCACATGGAGAAGCCAAATGCATGAAGGTGGGGGCCCACCCAAGGCACCTCGAGGGGACAGATCTGGCCACCTGCTGTTGAGAGCTGGAGTAACTCCACGCTACAGCATGTGGGGCCACCATGGGTGAGGGCCGACTCCACAGCAACCACAGTCACATCCCAGGGGAGAGGGGCTCACTGGCATGAGGTGAGAGATCCAGACCCACCTGACCCCTCAGCCCACCTCCACCCCCACCCCCCTGCCTCAGAGTTTAGTCAGCCAAGCTCCCGCTGGGGACTCTTGTCATTCTAGCTCAGACTTTGTCCCCACCCCCTGGTTTGAGCTCCCAGCTTCTCACCCAAGGGAACCCAGCTTCTCACCTGGGCCAGACCGCGGTGCCCCGCCCTCACCTGCTGCAGGAAGCGCTGAGGCTGCCAGAGCTAATGCCGCTCCAGAAACGCTGGGCCCGCGGGGAGGTGGCTCAGCCAGGAGCAACAGTGCGTTGCCTGGCAACCGGCGCCTAGCAACGGCGTCCTCACACCTCGAAGCCCTGCTGGGGCTCGCCCAGGCTCGGGGGTGGGGGTGGGGGGGTGGAGCGGTCTGGACTGGGCTCAGCCCTGGACCCGTCTCCCCGCCCACAGCTGGAAGGAGTTGCTGTCTGAGTGACGTGAAATGAAAGCGAATTCCCAGCAATCGCTCCTCCTGATTGAGTCCCCACCTGTCCCCAGACACTTTACAGCTTGATTCTGCGGTCCGGTCCGCTGAGCAGCCCTGTTGTCACCGGGGAAAGGGAGGCTTCGGCCAGCACGGTGACGGTGCAGAGCGGACAGCAGCGCCACGCCGAGCTGGGGCCCCAAGCTGCCCAGGAAATGCGCGTTTACTATGTCCAGTTAAGGCCCGATCTTTCTTCACACATTCCCTTAAATCATTCTCCTACCACCCCGGGAACCGGTACCGTGGTACCGGAATCTTAGGACTGATAAACCACATGGCTCAGCCGGCCCTTCTCCTCCTCTGAATGCACTCATTTCCCCCTTAGTCTCTCCCCCACCCCAAACTACCCACACCGAGTCCGTAGGATTCTGAATGAGCGCGTGTACTTGGCCTCTAGCACAATTTTATTTTATTTTTTTAAAGATGCTATTCTTATCCTAAAGAGCCCTGGGGCTGGGGTCCCAAGGTCAGCAGTATTCGAGTTTGAAACCCCCAGCAGCTCCTCGGGAGAAAGATGAGGCTTTCTACTCCCCTAAAGATTCAGTCTCAGAAACTCACGGGGGTACTCTGCCCTATAGGGCCATTAGGAGCCAGAATCCATGACAGTGAATGTTTTGTTTTGTTTGGGGTTTTTTTAATCTTAGTTCTCAGATGGTGTGAGTCTGGGTCGACTAGAGAAACAAATTCATAGACACACATATGTGGATAAGAAAGAGCTTTATATAAAGAGTAATTGTATACAGTGAACCCTCGCCACTTCGTGCTTCAACTTCCGCGGCTTCACTCTATCGCGGTTTTTGCGTAACATCGCATGCTCTGTCATTACTGCCACTGATTGGCTCATACTGTACACGCTT